CCTTGAGGGGGTGGACCTTGTGGCATGCCCTGTGGAGGGCCCTGAGGGGGTGGACCTGGCGGCATACCCTGTGGAGGGCCTTGAGGGGGTGGAACTTGTGGTATGGACTGTGGAGGGCCTTGAGGGGGTGGTGGGCCCTGCAGCTGACCAGGATGCCCACTGTGGGGAGTGGGCAGCAGTGGAGGTGGAGGTCCTGAAGTAAAATTACAAGTTATTTTTCTAAGTACAGACAAAAAGCCTTACATACTATGTATTTTCTTTACAACTGTCATTAACTATCTTACTAGCAGGAAAGAAAAGCATTCTTACAAATGTATCTATTTTCAATCTACCCAAAAGTGATGACAAATCGAATTCCCAAAATTAAACATACAGTAAATACCTCTCATTGACATTTGTTGCTGCTGCTGCTGTTGTTGTTGCTGCTGCTGCTGTTGCAACTGCTGCTGCTGTTGCTGTTCTTCCATGATTCTTTGCTGCATCATCTTGGCCTGCTCCTCTCTCTGTCTTTCCATTAGTGCCATTTGCTGCTGCCTCATCAACTCGGCCTCCTTCTCCCTTCTCTGTTGTTCTGCTGCCATTAGTTGCTGTTGCAGTAACTGCTGCTGGAGCTGTTTCAAAGGAAATTCAATTCACAAACTGTTAGTCACACCAGCTTCAAATGTTATCATGAAATCCCAAATTTCAGGAAGTTTCAATACAAATTTAAAAACAATTGGATTATATGACAAATATCCAAATCATTTTTTGAAAAACTGAGCAAAATTAATAATACATTCAGAATGATATGCTAGTCAGTGGTGAAAGTTACAATAAGACCCAAGTAATCCATCCATATGAAAAACTGACATAATATATCATGACTGGCATGAAAATTTTGTAGATATTCCTTGCAAAATATGTAACTGAAATCAAAGTAACCAATCAAGCCAAGCTTCATAATTCTGTGGATATTTAAATTTTATGTTGACGTTACCAACCATTTGTTGATTTTGCTGTTGAACAATCTGCTGCTGTTTCTCTGCCTCAAGCAGCTGCTGTTGCTGCAATGCCCGCTCCAACATTTCTTGTTCTTTTTTCTGTTCTTCCAACAAAGCCTTTTGCTGCATGCCTAGCATCTCTTTTTGTTTCTCTGCTTCCAATAACTGTTGTTGAAGTAATGCTTTCCCTTGCAACTCTTGTTCCATTGCTTGCTGTCTTTCCTTAAGATGCAATTTGTATAAATGAAGAGACATGCATTGCATATATTCTCCTGATATATCCAATACTTATGTGACACCTTCATTAAAAAACGAACAAAAAGGCAAAAAATGTGAAAAAAGTTTGATTCTCACCTGTTCTATTAGTGCCCGCTGCTGCTGAGCAAGCTGAATCAAACTGGGGTCCATTTGTGGTTTCTAAAAGAAATATTTGAAAACTTTAATATTTCAACACACATTTTCAGAAATTATAATTTTTTTATAATCCTATTAAACACTTTTATTTGTTCCCTATATAACATTTTCAAAAATTGTATAACTTAGCTTATGAATAAAACATACCTTCTCAGCTGGACTTGCTCCCTGAGCACTCATGGGAACTGGTTGTGAAGATGCCTGCGATGCTGGGGGTGTTGCCCAGGGTGGTGTCACTGACCCAGGGTGGTCACTCACCTTGGCCACAGATGGTGGTGGGGCCGCTGACATAGTGGAAGGTAGGCTTGGCTTTACATCTGCAGCCTCCCAGGGTGCAGGGGCTGCACTGCCACCAGAGGACTGCACAGACATTGGAGCTGGCACAACAGGTTCCGGCATAGGCATAGGAGCCTGAGGAGGAGGAGGACCAGAAGCCGGGTCTTGTTGAAATACCTGTGGGGCATGATGTTGATGGAAAGCCTTCGGGGTGGGTTCTGGTTGAAATGCCTGAACACTGGCCACATTGGCCTGTATGGGAGGTTGTGCCTGTTGCTGCTGCTGCTGCTGCTGGTCAGGTCTTCCATCATGAGACATGACTGCAGGAAGAGGCACAGACACTGGGATTTCTGGTTGTCCCATCATCTGGGGCATTGCCATTTGGTCACCACCTCCCTGCATTGAGAATAATGATGGTGGCATGATGTCAACTGGTGCTTGCTGTGGTGGTGAAAACATGGGAGGCAATGTCTCAGACTGGGGAAGGTATGCAGAATGAGGCTGTTGCATCATCTAGGGGGAGAAAAACAAAATTAGATTTGTGAAGATCCATTTGTGACCATTTATTTTAATAGTCAAAAAGTTATATTACACTATCTTGTTTTATTCACTAAGCTTACACTAGCATATAAAGACACTGTCAACTCCACTGTGAACAACAAAATATATTCTGAACTTGCTTACAAAATTATTGGACTACGTATATCTTTATTATTTGTCCTGGCAAAATGTATTTACAGAGTTATAGATCTTTTTTTATACTTCATAAATGCTTTTTTTCAAACTTGTTCTGAAGTATTTTATTTGCTTATTTTATTAATTTTTCAATTATAAGGCAAATAACTTGCCTGCTCCTCTTGTAGTGAGGGAGGTTGTTCCGCTTCCATGGCCTTCTGCTATAATGTACAATAACTCAATGACTTATGACAATCAAATATAAATTTAAAAACTACAGTCATAGCACGTATATGGATCATTCAAGTATCTATATAATTGTTTACAAATTAAAGAATATACTCTTAGCCACAAACCGTGTGCACTAGATTATTTTTTTTTTCGAAACAGTGTGAATGTATGATTGCACCATCTGACGGAAATTTATATATATAATTAATTCAACTTTGTCCATATATTCCCACAAATAGACCATAAGCACTATCACAATGAAGAAACTGTCAGGCTCATACTAACCTGGTAATGCTCATGTAATCTTTGGACCAGTGCTTCCTTCAAGCCTAAAATGAAACAACTTGCAAATTAATTATGTTGTGAACAAATCTCAATTAAAAATAAAAAAAAGTGCATAGTATGCAAAGCAGGTCCATATCCACATGCAGAAAGATGACCCTTGTTGGAAGGAGTTAATACTACTGTCCACTGACAATATAAAACAAAAAAAAATTGGAAAAATGGGATGTGACATGTACCTTATCAACCTTTGCCTGGCTAACTGAGACTCATAAGCCAGACAAAATCATCCAATGTCTTCACTACTTCTCTACTGAAATAATTTACATACAAAAACTGCTTTTCTCTACAGGCTTTTAAGTATTAGTTACAGGTGATAGCTGTTGACTGTCACGCACGTCCATACAAACACACACGCCTTGAGCTGACTGGGTCGCAGCTGATGCGCTGAACCCCCGTCAGATGTCATTATCAGTGGCAGTCTTTTATTGGATGATCCTGACTGGAAGCTGGCGGAGAGTAGGCCAAGGACAGAAGACGTAGTTGAAACGTAGTTAAGCAACGAAACTGATAATCGGTCACACGTGCTGAAATGCTAATAGTATTCCAATTAAAAGCATCTTTTATGAAAGCTAGTACTGTTCACATAGACTCATCACACTACTGAGACTCACCGGACACCGTCAAACCTTCGGCATGGAGCCTCTCTTTGAGGTCCACGACACGAAGTTTGCGTAGCTCTTCTACACTCGGAACGTTGTCCGCCATCTTGAAGCACCTGTATCCTTACCCCAGTCCCCAGACAATGACGGACTGGGCAAATTTCTTTAAAGTCTGTACAACATTTATCAAATTATGAATGTGAACTTTCATTGATTAAAATTTAAATACTGTATTTGGAAAAAAAGAAATAAACTGAAACTCTTATATTTTATTTATACTGCACCATGGGAAATTGTAATCCTTCAAATCAACATGGCGTCGAAGAAAGGGGTCAAAGTAATGAAAGTAGCAAAAAAGGTTGCTGAATCAGGTTCAAAATCTACATTTCTTAAGGCAACCATCCCTGCCGGTATGGCAACCCCAGCCCCTCCACTCGGTCCACAGCTTGGGGCGGTAAGATCCACAAGTTCTGAAAGCCGACAAGACCATGTTCTAAATCACAAAACAATTTCAATAAATAAATTCAATTGTGGATGAAGCACCGTCTTTAATAGTGAAATTAGTAGTAGTAGTATCATATTGGTGCAATGTTATCAGCACAAACCAGGTTGTTTTTCTGATCAATTATACGTTTTCAATATTTTGACTTGCAATTCGCCTCAGGAACGTGCTACAACTTATTACAACATAGCTGCATGTGTCATTATTTAATTTAATACTCATGTCGTGTCAAAGTAGGTATGATTGGTGATGAACAAGAGTGAAAAGCAGCAAATCTTGAGTTTGTTCAACAAAGATTTATTTCAAAACGTCATGTGTTAAAAAGAGGGGACGTGGCAAATGAGAATGATCTAGATGTTATGCCTTCTGTTTACATGTACATCAACATGCAAATAGCCATTTTCATACTGAAAAAGAAAAAAGAAAGTAAAATGACATCAATATTACACCTTCCAAGTCATAATATCTTTCAATTTTGTATTTTGAAGTACAAATAGTTAACTTGGTATCCCTTTTGAAAATAAATTAGTACAATGTTTTATTTTATTTGTCTAATATTGTAAAAATTCACATCAGAGATAACTGCATCTATTTGGCAACATGCATATATTGGCAGGGCACATGCAACATACTAAGAAGTAATGGAGGTCTGATTCCACTGTATTTTAGTTTTTGGCTTCTGTATGCGCTGTACCATGTTTATGTAAGGCAGTCTGGGGTAGCGCTAACACTCGCCAATTTAGCCAAATGGTAAAACTGACTTAAATTGGCTGAAGAAAAAGGGCTTGATTTGACATGTTTTAGCCAAATTATAACCATTTTGATAAGAAATTGACAAAAATGTGGTGATTTGGCTAAGTCAAAGAAATTGTTAGCGCTACCCCCAGGCAGTAGTGTATCTCAAAATTGAACAAAAAAAATATGAAACAAGTACTGCAGACTTCTTAATCAGACAAGTCAGCAGTATGTGAATTATAATTATTTATTGGGGTTTATAATGACTCATAGACAATAAACAAATCTAATGATTTTTTTTATTCTATAGAGAAACATCAACATAGCACAGTTTTGCAAGGACTTCAACCTTAGAACATCTAAGATGAAAGAAGGCACACCCTTACCATGTAGAGTATCAGTCAATGTAAGTAAATGTTTTTGCTTTAAGGTGGGCTTCCTGAGTTTTCCTGACAAATCAAATTTTCTTCAAAAATAATTTTTCACTTACTAGTACTCAAGAACCATTGCTTGAACAGTCCCCCACTTGAATATGATTTTATATACAGTTTCTAGTGAATGCTATGGTTCTTATTGACTGTTCAGTCACTTACAGCACCTTGTCTTTATGTACATTTCAGTAGGGAATATTGATGTCCAGTTTGAAGATTTTTAAAAACTTTTTAAAGGTCCAAAATGGGAGATATATAATTAGTTTGTTTGTAATAATAAAATAATGATTGAGAAATTTTAAAATGCAGATAGTGTATCTTGATGTAAAACTGATTAAATGCACCCAGACATGCTGAAAACTATTCAGAATGGTCGGACATTTGGACCAGCAGCAATGAAAAATTTGCCGGACTGAATGGATTTTTGTCGGACCGAAAATCACCCTATTCGTTTGAGACAGATACTACCAGTATTGATTGTCAGGGTAGCTTACTTTGTTTGTGATTGCGATAGGTTTGAAATGGAAGGGAAAAACGCTTTGGCTCTTATATAATTTTATTAGTGTAGTGTGTTGAATGATGACTGTAAATTCAAAATTGCGACTCTTAAAACCCTTGTCGGTCCTTTGGACCAACCAAGTCCAATTTTTTACTGGTCCAGACAAATTTTGTTTGGGCACTTTTTGGCAAAGAGCCTTTATCAGCATCGTATTAAAAAATTCACTTTTATTAGCTCTATTAATTTTTTATACAGGCTGACAGAACATACAATTTGGTGATACATCATCCTCCAGTAACCTATTTCTTAAAGCAAGCGGCAGGGATAAAGAAAGGTGCCACAAGACCAGGTTAATATTACATGTAATCCATTGTAGCTAGCCAATCAAGTATTGTTTCGAAGAGGCATTTCAAAATAAAATTTTTACCGAGTCAGGTGGATCATACCTATTTCTCATTTGCAACTTACTAAAATGGAACCAAAAAAAGAAAAAAGTTTAATTTTAGTCATGTTTTTTATAACGTGGCCCTTTTCCCTAACAAAATATGGTAGTACAAGAGAACAAATTTATGTTTTGATAATTTTAGTTTTGTAATTATTATATTTCAGGTCAAGAAGTGGCTGGGAAAGTAACTCTGAAGCACATTTATGAAATTGCTAGATTAAAGAATGAAGATCCAACATTTGAAGGAATACCTCTTAAAAAAGTATGCGAACGCATCTTGGGGGTAGCACACTCCATGGGAATTCAGATTGTCGAAACAGTTCAATTTAAAGAATATCAACGCTTTCTGAATCAAAGAAAAACAATAATAGAAGAGGAAGAAAAAGAACTAGAAGCAATAAAACAAGCAAAGTTATTAAGAGTATAGTACAGATGTGGAGTAATTTATCTTTCAAGTTGCACAGGATGTGTGCAGTCAGGAAAAAACAAAATTCTCTTGCTGTGTTATGATGTTAAAATAAAAACTTCAGTTGTTTACATTGTTATTTATTAAGCTCCTGAAAATAATGTGATGTCAACACATTGAGCTTCAAATGTATGACAAAGTAAAAACACAACATCATTTGCAAATCCATCTGAAATGGGTTCTTAGTCCTGAATCCTTTTAAGGGTTTCCATGAGGAATTTAACCTTTTTCGTATTTTTTCATAAATAATTACACCCTAGTCTACATAAACAAATTCTGACTAAGGTGAAATTGCTTATGACGTCATTTCTTGGCAAAGTTGCCTATTGACAAATTGCCTCTGTGAATTCAATTCGGTTCAAATTAATGCTTGCTGATGGCTTTGCAGTGATATTATCTAATGATGTAGCCAATGTTACTGTGTCACCACCATAGAGCTGAAATACCCTTGATCATTCTTATCTATCACATACTCTGCTGTCAGGGCACTTCTTACAGCATTCCTCACAAACTCTGAACACAAGCACAGTTGGGTTTCGATCATGCTTATCCCTGTTAGTCATAATAAGCTTCTGCATAATTTAAATCCCAACCTCTTCATAAATACTTGCCATATAGTGATATTCCCCTTGGATGAAAAAAAGCAGAAGTTGACCTTTCACTTAGCTCTTTCAACACCGCAGAAAGTGTGAAACACATCAAAAATGTAGGTTTTAATGAGCTTTTTTTAAAACTTTGATTACACAGTTACTAAATATAACATAGAGCTAAAAAGGTCTACACAGAAAGGCTTTCAACTCTTGTTCCTTTCATTCTAAATGACATCACTTGTTCTCTTTTATCTCTTCATCTGTGTTAGAAATTGTACTCAAGCTCCTCATTACCACTGTGGAAGCAAGGCCAAGGAATGCTGCAAAATACAGAAAATAATATACCATGGCACCCATACCACCAATATGAGCGATTTTTGAATACCTGTTTTTTATTTATATATATATTTTTTTAACATAGAGAAATGTGAATGATATAAAAGATGTACAACTCTACATATATCATAATAAAAAAAAGTTCTTAACTGTTTTTATATGTGGTCATTAGAAAGTTCAGATAAATATAATGACAACCATATTCTTCATAAGGACATGTACTCACTTCCTGCCAGGCAATAACTTGTCACAAACCAAAGTATCTTCTTGTTGCCTTGATAATTTTTGGGATTTTTCTTGGCCACCCAAATAACATAGCCAGCCATACCTCCCATTGTTAGAACACTAGTGATAATGCAAGATGTGCATGGGGTCCTTTTCCCTGCAGTTTCGAATCCCATTGTCAATTTGTGACACCTTTTCAATGTTGTGGAATACCAAACTGTTTTCATGCAATGAACAAAATGTCAAAAACTACAATGGTTGTTTCCTGCACAATTTTTTGTAAATGTTTTTAAAGCAATTATCAAAAAGGTCTTTTGATCTATTGTTTCCTGCATAAATGCTGTACTTGGTAGAACAAAATCAATCTTTGACAGATAATGGTTGATCTTCTTTTTTAGTTGGCAGCTTATGCATCTTTAGATTCCAGTTCGAATTAAAACTTCTTCCAGTTGACTCTAACAGCAATTCTACTGCTAATGCATAATATACTGTAAAAGAAGGAATAATATAAATTTTCTCCACAGATATGAATTACAATGACTGTACAAAAATTCAAATATAAAACTTTAAAATTCTCAGGCACTGAAAGATGACCGAACTAACTTGAGTGAAATTAGTTAGAATATATTTAATATAAAATAACTTTGCCTTACTCATTCCTATTAAAACTTCCCAACACCGTTTGGGAACGGTATTAATCACATGAGGGTTCTTTTTCCAGTATCTTGGGCGATATAATAACACAGCTGAAATGGACACACCCAAAGTGGCTGCAACCAGAGGATTTTGTTGAAATACTGTTGGGGTTATTTCAGGTGTGGGGTTCACGTCCAATGTCACTGTGCTCTCACCTCCTGGGGATACAGTTTCATTTTTTGGTTCAAGTTTGTGTAAGCTGTCTTTTAATTCTTTTTGAGAGGATTCTAATTTTTTGTCTTCTTCTTGCTGCTTTGGAGATTTCTGTTCACTGGTGTGCTGACTTTCAGTACTAGTCACAGCTTGTACCGGTACATTCTGAACCTGCTGTGAGCTTTCACCTTGACCCATGCCAGATCTGGAAACATATTAATTTTGTGAAAATAAGAATTCAATTTTGAAATACTATATAGTGAAAACTCTTGTAAACCTTTCGAATGCTACCCGGTACTAAGAACTTTTGAAACTTCAGGTTTCTATGGCATTATTTAGGGTGTGAAATTCAAGTGAGGCAACTTTTAACTCACTTTCGAAAGTGATGTCTGAAAAACATAAGAGACCGTCATGGTGAACTTGAATAACCATTGACGGGATGGGGGCGTCTCGATAGTCCGAAGGTTCATTGGTCCGAAGGTTCATTGGTCCGAAAAGTGGTAACATTTTTATCGATTTTTTAATCAAGGGTTCATTGGTCCGAAGGTTCTATAGTGAACATTCAGACCAATGAACCTTCGGACTATTGAACCTTCGGACTATCGCTACGGCCCCGACGGGATAGGTTAAATTTTAAACAGTTCATTCACACTTCGGTGTATGTGGCTATCTGTGTGTTAAATTCAAGTACGTCTAGCTGTGGGCCCTTTACGTTGTTCCTCCCGTTTTCAGTGATTGACATCATATTTAATAGCATTTAAATATTGTCATCTGCTAATCTAGAGCATGACGTTTTGATATATGTCGAAAATTTTAACGTTTTATTTCTCAGTGTCTTAATGTTACCTGGTTATTTGCTCATTGGTATACGCATGGTCAAGGTGAGCTTTAAGGTGGCTTCAGCGTTTATGGAGAAATGTTTTACACATGGTTTAAATTAATAAATTTCAGTATTTAACTATAACTTAATTGATTGCAGTCAATGTTTTTAAGGGAACGTGACGGCAAAAGCTACTGTCATCACACAGTGTAAAAGAGCTTCATTTTGTAGCGCCATCTTCAGTGCATTTCAGGACTTGTAAGGCGAGGAAATGGCATTCACATTTGCTGCGTTTTGTTACATTTTGGCTCTAATTTTAACGGCGTTTTTGATATTTTTTGCTATTTATCACGTAAGTACATTGAGAGTATAAAGGTTTCTATTTGTGTTTTTCATTTGGATTATGTACAATTGCATACTTTAAATGCATGCATGCATGATGCCTTCTCCTCCACCGGCTTTTAAATAGTGACATAATTACGACAACGAACGTTACATGTTAATAATTGTTATGCAATCCTAGATAATAATCAAGCAGGCCATGTACATTTGTATTTTTAAATCACACTACTTCCGTTGAATAAAGTAAATTATTGTCATGACATGATTTCTGGCGATTCATTGGATCCACCCTTATTCCATCATCACTGTGATTATAATCGGGTGATCTTTTCGGTTCTGATCTTTTTTTCTTTTCTTTTAATTTGTTATTGTAGATTAGATGTTTTAAAGGGACGGTTTTAAAGTCGGTTATAATAGTTCATATAATGCTCGACCATTCCATATCTACATTATTTTGAGGAAAAAAATCATCTTGATGTCTTTGTTTTGGGTTTTCACATTGTTTCATTATATTCCAAAATGCAATTTATCTTTCAGATTATTGCATTTGATGAACTAAAAACTGACTACAAGAACCCAATAGACCAGTGTAATAGTTTAAATCCAGTGAGTATTGCTATGGATAGTTCAAGGTTGAAAATATCTAGATACTTGGCAGAAGGACTTCTAGCTTACAATTAGAGGACCATTATCAAGCCATTTGCTAAAAAAGCAGTTGATGTACTAGTAATGCTTGGGCAACAGCGCACTTTGCTCTCTACATGACCTTAAAATCAAGAGAGCAAATTACATTTACATGATTATACAAGCTATTTTGAGAATTTATATGCAGTTGCACATTCATTTTGTATATTTTTAGTCTGGTATTACGTTATCCTATAATCTCTCAGATACAGAAACCAGTAGTTCTATATCCATTTTGATTTCTATATTTAAGTACCCCACCGCTATTGACATTCATTTTGTCTTTGCATTGTCAAAAGTGCCGGATTGTATTGAATGTTTTCTTCCTGAAAGTTGCACTTATAACATTCAGTTTGTGTATGTTGTGTTTCAGTTGGTGCTGCCAGAGTATGGGATCCATGCCCTTTTTACAATCTTATTTGTATTTGCCTGGCAGTGGGGCACTGTACTGCTGAATGTTCCCCTAATTGCTTACCATGTCAACAGGTTTGTATACATATCAAAGTCATGCTAGAAACAAGGGCTTCGTTCACATGGAATGTCTATTTTCTAAATTCTATTTTCTATTCGTGCTATCTTATGATCACGGTCTGTGTCCTGAATATCCCGCCGCGTAATTACTGGCAGCACGAGCCAGTTACTTATAGTAACTTATAGTAACTTATAGTAACTGGCTCGCGCTGCCAGTAATTACGCCGCGGGATATTCAGTGCACAGACCGTGATCATAAGACATACCGAAAATAGAAAATAGAAAATAGACATTGCATGTGAACGAAGCCTAAGACGAGGACATAGATATACAAATATACTCAGGCCTGTAGCCAGCAATTTCAGAGGGGGGGTTCGTTTTCTGAAAAAGTGGACCTTTTACCATAAAATCCTCAAGTACATAGATCAAATTTTACCCAGAGTGAACCTTTTCCCAGCAAAAAGGGTGGTTCTTTCGAACCCCCCGAACCCCCTCTGGCTACGGGCCTGATACTATAGAAATATAATAGTAGACGAGTACTCTCTGATCACAGGGTGCGTTAGTGGTCTGTTACAAAAATGTTCTGTGGCACTGCAATTCTGTACACTGTTTTAGGTGCCCCTATCAGAGGATACTGGACAAGGAGGATCTCACATGTAGGCTCAGAGAAGAAAACTGATTGGTTTGTTTCATTCTGTTCGTTATACTATTGCACTGGAAGAGAAAAGGAGAGAAAAGGATTCCTTGTAAACAATGCGAGGGGAGGGGGTAGGCACGTGACCCACTGGCCCACCACTAGATCATCGCGATTACTGAATTGATTTTTGTATTATTTTTAGTCTTGTATTATTTTATTTGTTCATTTATTCTATTTATTTACATTTTTGTCGCTGCAAGAAATCTTTATATTAATTACTCTTCATAGTAAACTCATCTCACTGAGATCCAAATGGTGTTAGAAATATCATTTCTTTTTCATTTATTTATGAAAGATTGCTTTAAAAATACTTTTGAAATTGCTAGATTTACTAGAAGAGTTACGCTGTTAATAAATTATAATAACGGCTAGGGTCAATGCAAGGAAGTTATGAACATCAGTTGTTCATTCCAATATATTTTAATTTTTTTTCTTTTGTCTTCCTGCGTTTCTCAAACACGCCTGAATATAACTATGGCGAAGAAAGCTGTCTTTTCAAATGTTAACACACAAATACAAATAATAATAATGCCATGAGCTGAAAGGAAACACCTCTCTTTGGTCACTAGGTTTTTTGTCATTTGTAAATGAAATACATGTATGTTGCTTACAATGCATTGCCAGTGTTCATACTTTTAATTTTTTAGATATCGATTACGGCGTTTTTGAAAGTTTGAATCCGATTTTAAGAATTAATTCGTGCCAAAAAGGTGGCAGAATAAGCTGATTCCTATTAAACACTGTCATTTCAGTTTATTTTCCAAAGCGATTTATTTTTCCTCCCGTAGTGGATTTATAATCTCTGCAAATTAAACTCCTATAAAACTTTGCTATGCTCTTACTATAGTTTCAGTTAATTTTGTCCTAACTTTTTTCAAAGACTTGTGACGAAACTCCAACCTCAGTTATCAGTAGGGACCAAAGTTGTGAATCCCCTTCCGAAAGTTATAAAAAAAAAAGCTTGGTGTCTACTTCGACTGTACACCCTCTATGATCAGACAAATAGCAATGTTACTCAATCATGCATTTTCAACGTCACAAACATTGATTCTATTCAAAATTACTTGGATCAATCCTCTGCAGCCACTGTTATACAGGTGATGGTTCCTCTCGTTTTGATAACTGCAACTGTACTGTACGCTAGCAAATGCTACTCAATCATGTATTTTTCAACATCAGAAACATCGGTGCTATTCGAAATAACTTGGATCAATCCTCTGCAGCAACAATTAAAGATACAGTGATACTCGTTTAGATTACTGCAACTCTTCACTCTATAGCAGCACCGGGAAACGGATAAACAAATTGCAGCGGTTTCAGAACATTTCAGCTCGCCTTTTAACCCGCGTACCCAGGGAAAATCACATTGCATCGGTCTTAAACAGTTGCATTGGCTCCTTTTTAGACCACGTATCTTATTCAGAATTTTATCATCAATCAGCCCCCTCTTACCTACTGAAACATTATACTCCAAAACATACGTAATTTAAGATCACTACATGTAGATCAGTTATTGCTGACACCATGTTATGCCAGACTGAAAACCCATGGCGATTTAGCTTTACAAGTCCACGGACCAAATGAATGAAACAGTCTCCCACTCTGTTTAAAAACTTGAGTCTGGCGACGATTAAAAAAGTACTAAAAACTTTATTTTTAAAAAATTAATAACTGATGTTTGACTAGTACTTAATTTTACCTTGTACTAGTTATCTATTATCTTAATATTTTAGTTGCTCATTAAATTATTTTTTTTTTTTCATTTACCCTTACAATATCTACGGAATATTCTCAATGGAATAACGGTAGATTGACATCATTACTTATTTATGTTATTAAAGAAAAAAGGAACACATTAACAAAAAAACATTCCAGTCTCCTGCCTAGAGCAAAGATAACAAGCACATTTCTTCTCAAACATTTTGAGTGTTTATATTTACCTTATTGCTACCTTACCAGATTTTGGACAAATATATCTTTTTGTATGAAAAAAAAAAGACAGCTGTTTCTGAGAATCTCTGCCTTGAGGCAGCATGTTCCGCCACTCATACTGTGCAGTCACAGTATTGACGGAGTATCGCATATTGACACTACAACGGAGGATGAGAGTCACTCCAGATGTCCAGACCAAGACAAATAGAACCTGTGGAGGTAAGCAAAACATTCCGTCTTAGAACAACAGGAGTTGTAGACATTTAAATACGTGTAAAGAAACGTCGAACCATTTCAGTAAACAGACGGCCAAGGTACAAGATTTCATTTAGACAATGTTTTTGGAGAAGAAAAGCGTATTTCGATAAATGCCCTCCTTCCTGTTTTCGGAGATATCGTTTTTTCAGTTTTGTCAAATATTTTTCTCACTCAATCAAAATAACGGCGGTGCAGGGGTCATCAGTTTTATTATGTGAGTGCAAATAATGCACTCGTTTTCGTTAGACATGCAAGCCTAGGGAATAATGCGAAATGAGATCGATCATCACATTTTCAATATTGAAAGGAAGGGTGCATCTTTATAGGACAAAGGTAAGGTGACGAGGAAAAAAATCATTTTAGCTTTCTTGAGGCATAAGTCAGCCTGGGTGAGAGATGTTTTTTGACAAGTTCAAGGAGAATCGCAGAGGAGAACATTTCAATACAAACATTGATTTTTGGTGAATAATTAAAGCAGGGAAGCAAACAGACAGATACTTAGGCCTATTATTATTATTTTGCATCTTACGCGTTCCTACAGAACAAATGAAGAAGACTTAAAAGCAGATGATAAAAAACGAACGCTGATTGCCTTTCGAGTATCACTGACTGGCGTAGATGAGAAGAGATTTAAGAATCACAGCAGTATGTGGAGGCTAACCCTTCTGTGTCTCCTGTTCCTCCGCGTGCGCTGTAGTCAAGGTAAGAACATAGTTTTATATGTGTATCTACTTTATTAGTGCAGATACATGTACCTTTTAACAAGTCAATACTACTACATGTATACCAATTCAAAGGTTGGAAATGCACTAATTAAGTACACTAATAACTAGCTTAAATACTCAGGAGGAGAGTTAAAACGTAATATAACAATATATACCTACATGTATCTCAATATTAGCTGTTGACTGAAGAAAAAAAAAATCACATCATTCTTGTAATATAACAAAAATTTAATTTTTCCGGAAATTTCAACACATTTCCGGTTTCCATTATTTTTTTATTTATTTATTTATTTATTTATTTATTTTTTGTGGCAAGTAGACCATATCCAAAATCGTTGATCAAATTATGATCTATTATCCCGTTCACCGTCTCAGCTGTATAATAACCCTACACTTCCATACGTTGTCACAAGCTGAGTGTCTTAAATTTATAAATTTAGAACGGGGAACCGTGTTTACAGGTTTTTGAATTTCTTACTGTAGCAGTTTTGGATGTTTTATACGTTTATATAGAGAAAATTGGTAATATTTCCAGGATTAAAAATGTTACCTTCTTATCATTTTAACTATATATTTCTTTTTTGCTTTCCTTCTGTATTATTTATCTATATAAATGTGAAAGGCAAATTGTACAGGTTTCACTACTTTAGACATCTTTTAAGTAGCGGATACGCGGCATATTCCCCCGATAGATTTTTTGATTTATTGTAAGCCATTTGAATACTAGTAATTCGTTTGCAATTGACTGTTAAAATGGGAAAGTAGACAAGATACGGCAGATTTTCTCTAATGACTCGTGAACGATTTGTGTTTCAGTTTCTGCGCCTTTGAGGAGATAAACTTATTTTTTTCCGTCACACATCAGCTTTGTATTATTAGTCTAATATTTTAACTCCCGTGATATAATTATTTAGTGTTTCGGCGCGTTTTGAAGTTCAGATTCATTTTAGCCAAGCACATCAGCAGCCATATGAATATATTTATTTTATAGCAATGTGTTTTTATTAAGCATCGGGTCTCCGTCAGGCCTAGAATATTGTTTACAATATAAATAAATAAATAAACTATTATGCCTTTCCAAAAGGAGTACGTTTTTTTAATCCGCAAAGAGGTTTTATTACTTTTTTATTTACTTGAAAATTATAATTAAAAAACTAGTTGCGTGGTAAATCGCAGAAATTCTCAGGTTGAAAATGAAAATCATAAGCAGTCATGCAAGAAATCAACAATGACTGATTTAATAAACGTCACGGCGGAGGACAAAATGTGCTTCAACTTTTATCTCTCCAAAATCACATGTTACCAGATTATGTAGTCCGCAAGCGGGCAATTCGCTTGACCCATTTTTTTTTTTTTTTTTTGAAACTAAGATTGGATGTCATCCCACAGAAAGACAGTGGAGCTTTTCGGGGCGTTCTTATTATTTATGTTTTTTTTATTAGTTCGGTAGTGACAACTCTCACAACAAGTGAGTTTTATTCATTGAGATGATATCTGCATTGACATACATGTAGCTTAAAAGTATCCTTCGAATATAACCGTGGTTCACAGTTCAATATAAAAACTCAAATCTCCATCGTTAAGCTCTCCTTATACATAATAATCGGGATGACCTTAAATACGTTTCCCATTTATCCCATGTTTGATCACCCAACTTGCCTCTGTTCTTTGTAAGTTTTGGAAGACCTTGCCTACACATCCTTATATTAATAGCAGTGAACCATTAATTGTACTGAGTAGTGAATCATTAATTGTACTGATAGTCTTCGAAATTTGCATACATGAGATATGCCTATTTGTTTAAGTTTTAATTATTCAATGTTGCATGTCAGTTAGAGAAGTTCATCTAAAATGTAAATCAAGATATAATTTTAATGTATCTACAATTAAGTTAATGTATATAGGCATGGCATGTTGCATGTCAGTTTTGGAAGTTCATTTAAAATGTAAATTATGATAGAGTATAAAAGTAGCTACTGAGTTATAGGGAGGGACAGACTGAGAGGTAAAGAGACATGTAGTGAGAGAGAGATGGGGAGAGAGAGCAGAGACCTGAGTCTTCAGTCG